GCCGTATTTGAAAATTGAATATTGCCTTATTTGAACCGTGATGTTTTTTTGGAAATAATTTCTGAAAATATTTACACGCCTTATTTGAAACTCAAATATGGCCTTATTTGAACCCCAATGTTTTTTAAGAATAATTCCATTTTTTTTGTGAATTTTATTTTTCATAATTTCAAAAAACAAATGCTGCCTGTTTGTGATTTCCATTTTTTTATTTTGCGATCCCGTTTATGTTTCAAATCAGACAATATTTACTTTTCAATAACACCAATGATCATCCAAATAAGGCATGTTAAGGTGGTTCGATTGGGTTTTGGGTCAAACATCCATGAGACTGAATTCAAGTTAAAGATTTTTATTTCAAATAGATCCTAATAACCCCTAATAATATAGAGAAACATTAAATAGATGACCAAAACCAGAGGTATGAACCATTATCGTCCATTTGTTCCTTGTCGTGCATTATTGCCCGTTATTTTCCTTATTTGTCGTTATTTTCATTGTACTTTATTTTTGATCAGTTTCCTTATTTGTTCCTATTTGTTCTTATTTACACATATGTTTTTCTTATTTGACATTGTTTGTTACTATTTTGTTCTTGTTTGTGTCTTATTTGTATTCTTGATTTCCTCATTTGTCCTTATTTGTCCTTATTTGTATTAATTTTGTCACTATGTGTTTTTTTTGTTTTGTTTTCCTCATTTTTTCAATTACCTTACTTCACCAGTTTTCCTGATTTGTCCTTATTTGTTCTTGTTAATACTTATATTTTCTTATTTGTCATTGTTTGTCACTATTTTGTTTTTGTTTGTTCCTTAATTGTACTCTTGTTTTCCTTGTTTGCCCTTATTTGTACTTATTTGTCACTATTTGTACTTGTGTTTTTTTTTGCATCCTTATTTTTCACTATTTGTTCCTTATGTGTTCTTATTTTACCATTGATTAAATTTGGGCGGCTCAAATCAGTACTATGAGCAAGGCGGTGTCTAAGGAATGTTCTCTGCAAAGGATTGTGTACATATGTTGATTTTCAGAAAAGGATCCTACACTGGACGGTGGTTTGATTGGATTTTGGGTCAAGCATCCATGAGAACGAGTTAAATTTGAGGATTGTTGTTTCAAATAGGTCCTAATAACCCCTAATAGAGAAACATCAAATAGACAATCACACTATTATCGTCAATTTGCACCTTGTTTTTCACTATTGCCCGTCGTTTTCCTTATGTGTCGCTATTTTCACTGACTTTATTTTTCACAAGTTTTCCTTATTTGCCCTTATTTGTTCTTATTTACGCTCATATTTTCTTAGTTGTCAGTTTTTACTATGTTGTTCTTGGTTGTTCCTTATTTGTATTCTTGTTTTCCTTATTTGTCCTCATTTGTCCTTATTTGTACAGTAACTAGTTGTTCTTTATTTCCTCCTTATTTGTCCTTATTTTTCACTATTTGTTCCTTATGTGTTCTTATTTTACCATTGATTAAATTTGGGCGGCTCAAATCAGTACTATGAGCAAGGCGGTGTTGTTCTCTGCAAAGGATTGTGTACATATGTTGATTTTCAGAAAAGGATCCTACACTGGACGGTGGTTTGATTGGGTTTTGGGTCAAGCATCCATGAGAACGAGTTAAATTTGAAGATTGTTGTTTCAAATAGGTCCTAATAACCCCTAATAGAGAAACATCAAATAGACAATCACACTATTATCGTCAATTTGCACCTTGTTTTTCACTATTGCCCGTCGTTTTCCTTATGTGTCGCTATTTTCACTGGACTTTGTTTTTCGCAAGTTTTCCTGGCATTTCTGTTGGCTCCAATCGTATCATTTTTTTCTGTTCAGCACAGTGAACTGGCATGTAAGTGATTCAACAATCAAATTATCAAGGGCAGGCCACAAAGCAGGACCAATTTGATTCCCCTGCAAAGGATTAGCTAGTGCATTTTTCCAACAAAGTACATATGATCAAATATTTAAAGAACATGCAAAGAATACGAAAATCAAATGATGTGACAATTAGACAAACATTCCATGCACAGTGATTCATGATTCGATTGCAACAGAAACCTGTTGCCTGCAATGCTGCGCTGTTTCACTAACTCCTTGTTGGAATGCTCCTTGGTTGCATTTTCCATACATTGCATGTATGATTAAACCGTCCAGTCGATACAATTTCTTCATGTGCAAAAAGTCACAAACCCATTGACTGCACGTCAGGTCCCAAGATGCGGAGAATTTCGATCTATATTCCAGCAACTTGACCAAACATCAGACCAAAGGCAAACAGCTCCTTACTCCGCACGATTGCATGTAGATTGATTAGCACAGCATGTTTGAGACAATTCACAAGCCTTGCTTTTGAAATTCAAAAATCAGAGGCAAGTTGTGCATCAACAACATCGACGTAGAGTGCATTCTACCAGATGATGCTGCACCAGATGAGATCCAGGTACACTGGGCCGCAATCTCTGCAACACAGCTCATCTACAGGACAACATTAGGACCAAAGCGGATGAACAACTTCTTCGAGATCCTTCCGCAGCTCAAGACCTTGTACAAAGATCTATGAGCAACAGATGACATCCCCGCTGTTCTGCGGTCTAGACATACTCAGAAAAATAGAGGTGACGATCAAAACCGGCCTTCTCTGTCAATGTTTACAACCAGGACCATGATTCCAACAAGCTTCCTGGTTACAATGTTGATTTGGGGAATTCATCGAGCCCGGAGACCTGTGGAAGACGTAAATCGAACAAAGGAAAATTTCATGGCGTTGTGGTCATTGACATTTTCAATGGTGCGAGAGCACAAATGTCGAGTTGAGCGCAGCGACGGAGCTTGCTTTGGTTTTGCGATCAATCCAAATGCCCAGGCACCCTTTCTACATTGCATGTTCTCTGAAGAATATCTTGAACAACTGGATGCGGATTGGAGATCACTTTATCGAAGCTGGTTGGTGGTGTGGAACATGTTTTTATTTTTCCATAGATTGGAAATAATGAACCTGACTGACTGACTAATATTTTTCGTAGGGGTTGAAACCACCAACCAGGAAGTCGATCCTGTCCAAAGTGGATGTCTACAGACAGTATCTTGCGAGCTTCAGTGGTGGAAGTAGTTGCATTCATGCTGCAGCCAGGGCATGGTAGAGCCTATGCTTCCATCATGCCAGTTGTTCATACAGTCATCAAAACCTTCGCCAAAGCTGTTGACAAAATGGGTCGGGCTGCAAAGAAGGATCAGGTTGACGAACATTTAACCTTCAAGAACCGCGCAGTCTACAAAGAGACTCTGCTCAAGAGGAAGGCGAGGTGTGCCCAGTTCCTATTGAGAGAGAATGATTCTCACCAGCAAGGTTTAAGTAATTTTCACATTGTTTTCCCATGTATACCCTAATAAGCCCTAATAGTGGCTGTTTGGGTTTTCCACTGACTGAATGCATTGTAATTTCCTGCTAAGGAAGACAACGGCATTACACTTCAAAAGGCATTGCAGAAGTTTCAGTTGACCACGACCAACGTCACTTTGTTTGCCTTCCAGTTTGCAGTTCATGCCTTAGCTTGCATTTTTTCAAGGAAGCCAACAAATGCACTGGAACCCCATTGATAATATATGGCAACCACATGCGTTCATGTTGTGGAGGTTGTCTACATGGTGAGAGCAATGGCTGAAGCGAAGGGATGCACTGTGTGGCATGCACCTCGCCTGGAGTTTAGCGCCGTAGATTTTGGGCTATCAAACATCTCAGCATATCAATCTAGAGCCAAACAGTCACTAATAGTGTGCGTGATAGGAACAAGCTTGAGCTGAATAGTCTTGAGACTTCCTCTGCCCAGCCTGCTGAGGTACTGGATAAATTTGATTAATTTCTGAAATATTTCTGACTACAATTTTTGAAAAATTTCTGAAATTCGTCAAAATTCGAGAAAAGCAACGCAAAAAGATTGAAAATAGCAGCAGAACTGCCAAAAGTAATGTTATGACATTCTTACAGCCACAGCCTGAGGGTTCCAAAATATTTATTTTTATCAAAAAATTATCCCATCACCTGTTGAAAAATTATCCCTAGTACGTTTTGGAAATATCAAAAAATTATCCCAGCTTGTGTTGGAAATATCAAACAATTATCCCAAGTATGTGTTGGAATTATCAGAAATTTATCCCATGTATGTGTTGAATTTATCAACCATTTATCCCCAGTATGTGTTCGAATTATCAAAAAAAATATCCCAAGTATATATTGGAATTATCAAACATTTATCCCGAGTATGTCTTGGTTGCAATGTTAACTATTGAAAATAAATAAAAGTGGATAGCGACAGACTACCTGTTGGCGGCTGGGGTGTTCAAAGTCCATGTACATGGCAGCCTTGCGCTGCTCAAACCTTGGGAGAGTCACCTTCAGCACGTTTGCCAGGATGATTTGCTGACAAAGAAATTTCGTGGGATGGAGGCTGGTGTCCTGAGAGGACAAACAGAATGATAAAAACAACGATAAGAATTCTCTCATGGAACATGATAGATTTTTACATACTACGAAACGTGAAGAATGTAATGTTTCATTACATGCCTGTGGTGACACTGAACAACATTGGAGATGAGATTGTCAGATGTAAACTGAACTTTAATAGATCTCGAGGATGGTGGTTTCTTCCAGTGAACATCTTTTCGAATCCTTTTTGAGTTTACAGTGATGATGTGTCGAATTTTTCATCATGTTGCAATTTTGGATTCAAGCTTCAAGTGAAGCATTGTGGCAAGTGCCACAGAAACGACATGGCAAGTGCCAAGACTCATGTCTTTAATTCATCTCAACACTTGACATGTCAATCAATTCACGAAAGTAAACATGAACAAATTCGCAATCATCAACATCATGTTCACTTTCAAATTCTTTGTTGACCGGCCGTTCCTGCACTCGTCGGCATGGTGACGCTTGATGACTTGCGTCTCCCGATCCTGGATCAGCTCACTGTTCCAGTTTTCTACAACGTGTCCGATGAGCAGGTACCCTATACCGTCAACGATTTGCTCGCTCCATTTGATCTGGACGACTTCGGCATCGAAGGCTGTGAAATAAACAGTCTGCTCTATCCACTGAAGACATCCTCACAGGTGCACCTATTGCCCAGCATCGAACTCCTGCAAGAACACTGGACGCCATTCGATGACAGCCTCGAAGAGGGTACGGCAGTGCACTTTGTCATCATTGACAGATTTCTTTTCCAGTTTTTCTTGGCTCGGGCTGCACAGTTCAACAATACAATTCATCTCGGAGGTCATCCAGGTCAGCGTTTTTCGCACCAGACCCGACTGGAAGTACATCTCATGCCATCCACCGAATCCATCGAGATGATCAGCCGCATCCATGGAGAATGTTGCCGACTTCGCGCAGAAGTTGTGGGGTTGCGTAGCCAGATCCAGCGCACTGAGCAGCGCCTGGGTTCCCTCATTGAAACATTGGGGGTCGCATTCCCACATCTGGCTGCGGATTTGGGGCTCACCCTTCAAATGAGTGATCTGGAACCGACACCAGGAGGTGTGTAACCCTGCATTGCAGATCTTTTGGAGCAGAAGCAACAGCACAGTCAAGGCCCAAGCCTGCAATTTTACAATTTCAATTACAACTGGATCAACGCCTCTGGCTACATCCTCAACTTTTCCAAGAAGCAGTTCAGCTTTTGGCCACGCGCTGCTGAACTTACCGTGTCCTTTTGAGAAAAACAGTTTTTCATCGGGGGGATTTGCGCACTGTTTTCAGATTTCATAATTTTATCACAGATTTCAGAGTGAAGTCCACGTTTGACAGATGTTTGTCATGTCGGTCATGCACAATGAGGATTGAACCGGGCATGTGCCTTTGCATTATCCCAGAATTATATGACCCACAAATTTTTCTCATCAGACGCATGTCGGATCGCTCATGTTGGTGGAACCCAAAGTGTCGTGGACTCGAGTGAGTCAGATTTGAGTTGATCGGTTCTGTTTGGTAGAGCATGCGCAATCAGGAAGTCAATTTTGATCTAGGCTCAAGTGAGCGCAATTTTGAAAGTGGGGGGGGAATCGGCACATTCCTTCTTCCGTCAGAGCCCCGGTGACTTCACAGTCGAGTGACTGATGACTAGAAGACCTCAACTGGCAAGACGTTTTCATTGTCCAGCCAGACTGGAGTGTGATCAGGTGATCACAAGACAGCCAGAGCCTCATCTGAAAGAGGATGTTCATCCTTTTTCACATTGATCAATTGAATATTTTTGACTGAATCTTCTGATTCTTGTGTCAATGGACGAGTGTCCATAAAGTGGAGCACAGGTCGAGTGACCTGACGTTCTCCTCGCTGTGCGCCCCTCAGTCAATTCCAGTGTGATAGATCACCAACGTGTCGACGAGTGTCGATCTGAATGAATAGGTCGAGTGACCATATCTCAGCCTTTAGGAAGGTTGGAGTTGATAACAAGTGTCAACCTTTCAGAGACCATCAGTACATGTTTATGATCGTACATGCGTTAAATTTAGGTTTGAGACAGACCTCTGCTGGCGTCAAGGCCTGATTTCTGAAGAGACTATCCTCTTATTGTGGTTGCTTTGCGTTGTAGTGATTTCTTCGGACGACTCTCCTTGTCATTTGTTCATCAATAATTGCGTCCTGTGACAGGATCAGATCAGACGTACGCCCTCCGAGATCTCTTGCATCCGTGCATCCGTAGTTTCTCAGCCGGAACCTCCTTGATTTTCTTTGAGAGGGGTTGCAGTCGACAGCAAAGCACCGGAATTACATGATCCAGGATCAAGAAACAACCGGCAGCCTGGAAGCCGTAGGACTAGACTCGTCGTCGGTTGTTTCAGAAGACCTGAGGGTCCCCTTGCCTCTTGACATAGATGAAACAGATGATGTATCTGAAAACTTGTTTGGGGGTGAAGACTTTTTGGAACCTGACGTATGTTTGGACTCCCCACAAGCATCCGTGCCCTGCCGAGATGTTTCGGACACTCCATTGAGCGATGCCAAAAAGAGAGACCTGAGGTCGATGATCGAGGACAGTTGTCTGTCTACCCAAGCCGTGTTCAAATTCAAGATGCCGTGGGAAAGACCAGGCACGAGAACAGTTTTTGATCGCAAACCAAAGAGGCTCATACCTATTCCCGTTTTGAAACCAGTTGAAATCACCTCCGGAAAGAAGGACATCTCCAAGGCAGTCCCGCTGCCGAGCTCCAAGCCTTACCGTGGAGCCTTCAGTGAGGTCATCAATTTCAACTTGGATTTTAGCGAACAGGAAATGGAAGACAACCTTGAAAGGAAAGCCTTGGAAAAGTGGTATCTCATTTTTGCCTCAGGAGAGGATGCATGGCCTGAGGGTTTCAACTTGAGAGTAGCCGTAGCAGAACATAGGCTTTCAGATATGAAGTTGATCTTCGGTACCAGGAGCCCTAACACCATCATCAGAAGGGGTTCAAGCATTCTTCAATTTATCAGATGGTACAGAACTAAGTATTTCTCGTTATGTCCTTTTCCAGTGAACTCCGCCTTGGTAGAAGAATACATCTCTGCATTACAGGCGAACGGGAAAACTGTGTCTGCCATGAGAGGCTTCCTGGAAGCCCTGAATTTCTGCAAGCATTTCCTCAGGATGAACGTTGCTCCTCTTGGTCAAGAGTTGGTCTCTGCAAAGGTCCAACGAATAATAGAAGTGTGTGACGCTCTGAAGCCTGAGAAACAGCAAGCGAGAGTGTTGACGGTTGCAGAAGTTGAGTTTTTGGAGTCATGCTTAACCAACGAAAAGATGAGCTTTACCGACAGAGTCGCATGCGGTGTGATGCTTTTCTGTCTTTATAGCCGAAGCAGGTGGTCAGATGTCAAAAGGATCTATGGTTTTGTCCAAGATGTCAAGGAGTCAGAAGGCAAAATCTCTGGGTACTTGGAATGCAGAACAAGGTCGCATAAGACCTCCAGATTAGTAGCCAAGTCTGGTTTAGCCATGCCTCTCGTCGTACCTGTCTGGGGAGTCGGGAATCTTCCATGGGGTTTAATTTTCATTAAGCTTTGCCAGAGTTCCAACCGACCTGTAGAGTCGCTGAGCAACGAGCCCATGCTCAATGCACCCACACCTGATGGGTCTTGGTCTGGCAGATCTGTGACGACAACGGAAGCAGGCAAATGGCTCCGCAAAATCCTGTCAGGGATGAAAGGAGAGGCCATCTTCACAACCATTCATGCCTTGAAAGCGACACCGTTATCATGGTGCGCTAAGTGGGGTCTAGGGCCTGACATACGTGCACTGCTTGGTCATCACTCAACAGGCAAAACGTCTGCTGAGTGCTACGGGAGAGACAACCTTGCGAAGCCCCTCCGTGACTTCGATCTCGTTTTACAACAGATTAGAACTGGAGCCTTTTCACCAGACGCCACCAGATCTGGAATGATTAGGGAAGAAAGCGTGCAGGATCCAAGCTTGTCTTATAGCCACCCAGTGCCAAGCAAACCTCCGATTGTTCAGGAACGGGAACATGCCAGCGAAGAAGAAGAATCATCATCCTCCTCTTCGGAATCGTCAAGCGAATCCCAAGAAAGTTCGGAGTCAGACCTAGAAGGGGACCCAGTGACCCGATCCAAAGATTGGGGCCCTGAGATGTTGATGTACAGGAACAGAAAGACCTTAATAGTCCATCCAGTAGCTTCAGGTGGAGCAGACACTTTTAGCTGTGGGGTCAAGATTGCCAAAGACTTCGAGGAAATCCAGTCTTCCAACTTCCTTGAGCTCAGGCTCAGGCAATGCAAAAGATGTGCCACTGCACGGCCGTTGAAAACTGCAGGACAGCTCGCATCAGCACTGAAGAAGCTGCGTGCTGAGAGATGAAGAAAAAGGAGAATCAGAGCTGCGTTTCGTTTGATTAGAAACGGTCTGTTGACAGGCAGTCAGAGAGAGGCAAGTGCTTCAAATTTCTCAAGTGAGAACCATCATGACAAAGTGCTGAGTATCTGAACAATCAGCATGTCACAACGGAACATTCATTCATGTGAAGATGTTCTTTTGGGAAGCAAGTGCTTCCGTTCGGCCATGTGAGTACATGTCCTCTCCTGCTTTGATGGTTCAAACTCAGTGCACGTTTGAGTGCATATCCTCAAGTGAGGCTTGGATCAATTCCTGAAATCTCATAGTGAACCAATCAAAGAAAGTCTCAGGAGTCAACTTCGACAACAGCCTTTAATGTGACATGTGATTCCGCCCAATATTGACATATAATCTTTACCACACAATCACCAATTGAAATCCCTTTTCCCAATGTCGCATCAAGTCTCTTCATTGGATATGATCAATCATAATAACATACAGACGGTTTGACTTAGCCCGCAGACTGTCAACGCTTCTGCGCAATGGGAACTTTGCTGGAATCTCGAGAGGCCTTGAAGGCCAGAGGACTGGAGGTCAGCCTCACGTCAGATGAGATCGATGCATTGGTTCACAACAGGGTAGATTCCCTTGCCCGTTTAGCATTCGCAGCATGCCAACCAGGTGAATCCCCAACTGATGAACAAATTGTAGCCTTATTTGCAGGAAGGGCTGTTCCGAACCAAGGGATCTTTGCATCCATGAGGCGTTTGATCTTTGAAGCACAAACGCTACTATCGGCAGATCTCCAAAACAAGGTACACAAGGCAGACGAGAGCGTCAAGACCAAATTAGCTCCTGCCGAAAGAGACAACAGAATCAAAGATCAAAAAGCAAGGTTGGAAGGGCTCAGATTTCGGGGCGAGGAAGAGTGTTCTCATCAAAGCTACGACCTAGTGCTTCATATGCTTGAGAAGGACACCCTTTTGTATCTTCCTCCCGACAAATTTCCCACGAGACGCCATGAGCTTTTGCAAAAGAAAGCACCCAAAGAAATCACGATTGACCAGTCTGCTTTGATTGTTCGGGACAAACACATGGAGCTCACCTGTGCGACAACCACTGAACTTGAGGCCACCAACGCCCTTCGACGAAGAGCTTTAGCATTCGATTTGGTAAAGGCATGTGATTTTCATGTCATGAATGCTTTCCATGCTGACCTGTTCGATCATTTGCATCAGACGCCACCGCCTGGTTATTCATCAGTTTCTTTGGCCCAACTGTTACGAGCCGATCGAGCGGCCTGGGTACTCATCGCTGAACGCATCACAACCCTAAAGAGGGATGAACAAGGCAAATTGCCTTTAGAAGCGGAACTCCAGCAGGTGCTTTCCCATCCATCAGTCACATTCCATTTGTTGCCTTTGCCAGCTGCGGGAACAACCAAGACTCCTTCACCAAAGCCGAAGCCACAGCCAAGACGTTCCAGATCGCCCAAAAGACCCTCGGGCCCTGCACCATCCAAGGGCAAAGGCAAAGGAAAGAAAGGGGGCAAACGGGGACGGGGCCCTAACGTCCCCAAGGGGCTGATCAACAAAAATTTGCAGACATCATCAGGAGAGCGCCTTTGCTGGGCATTTAATTTGGATCAGGGTTGCCCAAATGCAAAGCCCGGAGAGCGTTGCAACCGCGGCATACACCTTTGCGCAGAACCAGGTTGTGAGAAGCCTCACAGCCTCCAAAAGCACCAATGACAGCCATCAGCGGAAGCTTCAGTTTTGCAAGAACCAGCTCATCCGAAGCGAGAGCCATCTCTCTTGAAGAAGCCTCCGCTCAATCAACTTTTTGCCATAGAAATCTTCGCAGGAAGCGGCAAACTCACAGCTTCCATTCGAGCCATGGGATTGCAAGACAGCTTTGGGATAGACCTGAAGCTGCCTCCAACCTTGCGAAGTCCAATAATTAAATACGATCTGACCAATGAGGAACACCTCGAACTTGTACAGAGTTTGATCAGATCACCCCAATGTTGCTATGTACATTTCGCGCCTCCTTGTGGCACTAGTTCCAGAGCCCGCCTAATCCAACGCAAAGGACGATGGAATCCCCCCATCGTCCGTACTGACCAATATCCCGATGGACTCCCTAGCTTGTCAGGAACCTTAGCCATTCGAGTCGCTGCGGCGAATAAATTATATGACATCACCTGTGACTTGATCCGGTTGTGTCTGGATTTGAAAAAGTACTTCTCAGTGGAAAACCCAGGACGCTCTTTCATGTGGCAAACCACCCCCTTTGTCAAATTAATGAGTACCTTTCCTTTGCTCCAAGTGCTTTTTCATCACTGCAGATACGGAAGTTCTCGTCGTAAACTAACCAAGTTAGTCCATAACATCCCTGCTTTCCAAACACTAGAATGCTTTTGCCAAGGCGATCACCCACACGATCCGTGGGGTCGCACTCCTGACGGTAAGTGGTCCACGGCAGAAGAGACAGCCTACCCATGGGAGTTGTGCAAAGCAATTGCTGCCAAACTTTTGCACCAACTCCAGACAGACGGGTACGATTGCAGTCCACCCGTTTTCGCCTTGCAGGAGTCATCACTCCAAACCATGCGAGCCTCAACCGACATTCAACCACGTCGGGGCCTACCATCGATGGTATCAGAATTTGAGAGCGTCCAAAATCACCCCATCGATACGCCTTTACCCATAAACTCCAGACGCCTCAGTATTCAAGTCCGGGGGTATTCCGCGAGTACTGATGATAAGCCAAGTTTAATCTCCATAGGCATCCACAGAAGCCCAGAAAAATTTGTGAGTGAAGCTATCAAAGTCGGACACGTTCACTCACTTTTTCCTGACGAGATAACTGATGTGGTATCCTTGAACTTGAAGAAGGGTAAAAACATGGCCTTGACACGAACAGAAGAAATCAAAAGGTGGATAAGCATGTCCAGAGACTTGTCCGAACTCGAAGCCGACTTTAAGAAGACCATGTCAGCCCGACGCAGGACAATTCTCAAGGACAAGAAGCTTATCATGTTCCAAAATCTGCTTGCTGAGGCTGGACACGAAGACGTAGACCTGGTCACGCAACTTGCTAGGGGCTTTGACCTCACAGGCATGTTACCAGAGTCACACGTCTTCAACCGGAAGGTCAGACCAGCAACCATTTCTTGTGGAGAACTCAGACGTGCGGCAGATTTGGGCAGAGCGGGGATTTTGCAATCAGTCAAGTCCTCAGGGGACCCTGACCTCGACAGGGATCTATACGCAGCAACCTTGAAGGAGGTTTCCAAAGGTTTCTTGAAGGAAGTCCCTGACCTGATGACCCTGCCCCAAGGCGCCACCTTGACTAGAAGGTTCGGTGTTAAACAAAAGAATAAAGTACGTCCCATAGATGATTATAAAGCCTCCTTTGTAAATAGCAGTGTATCTCAGACGGAGTCAGCCACGGTGCACACGGTCGATCACATTGCTTCCTTGATCTCTTGCTTCATGAGGGCGTCATGCAACCGTGAGGAGATGCCCACCCTGAATGCCAAGACGTGGGATCTTGCGGACGCTTACAAACAAGTGCCGTTGAGCGACGAAGCTTTTGAGATGGATTCTTACTTGGTGGTTTTCTGTCCGGACACTTCCGGTCCAAAAGTTTTCCAACAGAGTGTGCTCCCCTTTGGATCAGTGGCGTCAGTCACATCATTCCTAAGAATCGCTCACGCCCTGTGGCGATTGGGAACCAAGTTGCTAGGACTCATGTGGTCATCGTACTTCGATGACTTTTTCTCGGTGGAAATCCGTGACTTCTCAAGACACACCGACCTGGTGATAGCTTCTCTCTTTAGCATTTTGGGTTGGAAATTATCAGCTGAAAAACTGGTTGATTACCACACCATTTGCAAGGTTCTGGGAGGAGAGTTTGACCTGGGAATGTCCGGAGAAGGCCTTTCATGGGTGTACAACACCGGAGACCGGGTAGACGAACTGTGCCATCAATTGGACGGCATCATTCAGTCAGGTTTCCTCAGAAGGTCCGAAGGTGAAAGACTGAGAGGGCGACTACAGTTTGCCTGCGGTCAGCTCTTTGGCAGATCCGCCCGGAACCATATCCGAATTCTCTCCGACCACATCAAGAGTTGCAGAAGTAAACTTGATGATGACACTCTACATGCCCTAAGACAGATCGACGAGCTGATTCGTGCCAATCGGCCCAGGAAGCTCTTAGGGACCTTGACTGACCATTTTCATGTGTACGTTGATGCATCTTTTGACGATGATGGCTACACCGGCATAGGTGGCGCTTTATACAATAGTTCTGGACAGGCAATAAAATTCTTCAGTGAGAAAGTAGACCTGAGTTTCATTGAAACAGTGAAACAAGAAAACCAAAAGAACATCATTCAAGAGTTGGAGATGCTTGCTTTGCTGACCGCCATTGAAATCTGGGGTCCCGTGTGGGAAGGCCACAGAGTTGTGGCATTTACAGATAGCGAATCCGTTCGCGGTAGCTTTTTGAAAACTTGGTCCAAAAACTGTCCTTGCAACAAGTTGCTGGCTCGGATTTTCTTCTTGGAAGAATCCCACACATGCCCCTTGTGGCTTGAGCGAGTGCCGAGCCAATCCAACCCTAGTGATGTTCTCTCACGAAGCCAAGTGGCCGTGTGGAAAGGGTTGACGAGGGAACAAGTAGACTTCAGATCCATCTGGAGTCATGCCATCAGTTTCCCGGGGTAAGAGCGCGATGCATGACAGTGAGACCAATTCTCCCCATTGTCAAAAAAGAGCGTTTTGCGGCAGCAGTGTTTCGACGTTTCATGTTAGGTGAATTTCACAGAGATTGCTGTAAATGAAACCGCTTTTCGAGTTGTCACCACAGCGAGCGTTTTGATGCTATGTAAGAATTCTCTCATGGAACATGATAGATTTTTACATACTACGAAACGTGAAGAATGTAATGTTTCATTACATGCCTGTGGTGACACTGAACAACATTGGAGATGAGATTGTCAGATGTAAACTGAACTTTAATAGATCTCGAGGATGGTGGTTTCTTCCAGTGAACATCTTTTCGAATCCTTTTTGAGTTTACAGTGATGATGTGTCGAATTTTTCATCATGTTGCAATTTTGGATTCAAGCTTCAAGTGAAGCATTGTGGCAAGTGCCACAGAAACGACATGGCAAGTGCCAAGACTCATGTCTTTAATTCATCTCAACACTTGACATGTCAATCAATTCGCGAAAGTAAACATGAACAAATTCGCAATCATCAACATCATGTTCACTTTCAAATTTTTCGTCCCACCCATTTTTAACCCATCCCCAATTCATTGCCAAGTGATGCAATGACTAACATGATCCAAGTGGATCTCTTTTCCTTTTCTTTCTAGACTTCGCCATCCAATGGCCGAACCGTCGTTACAAGCTCTCTTTCAACAAGTGTTTATCACACAATCATTTCTTCATCAACTGCAGACCGCGGAGGAGTTCATCAGTGATATTTCCGACCACCTTGACGAATTTGAAGTCCCACATGAGGACAACTACATGCAGATCCGCACAGGCATCCGCCAATTGCGTATCCACTTGAACTTCCTCCTGGCCATCCAGTTGCTTGAAGCGTGCCGTGGCCTTGAACGTTACATGCAACGGCACGGTCGTTTACCCAATATCGACCTCAATTTTCAGTGACATCGCTGTCAAACGTTACGTTTCTCCAGTTGCATCTTCTGGCACGTGCCTACCCGAAGCCAGAGCGCGATGCATGACAGTGAGACCAATTCTCCCCATTGTCAAAAAGAGCGTTTTGCGGCAGCAGCAGTGTTTCGACGTTTCATGTTAGGTGAATTTCACAGAGATTGCTGTAAATGAAACCGCTTTTCGAGTTGTCACCACAGCGAGCGTTTTGATGCTATGTAAAAAATGATAATTTTTAACCGAATGAAAAAAACAATGATAAGAATTCTCTCATGGAACATGATAGATTTTTACATACGACGAAACGTGAAGAATGTAATGTTTCATTACATGACTGTGGTGACACTGAACAACATTGGAGATGGGAATGTCAGACATAAAATGAACTTTATAGATCTTAAGGATGGGGGTTTTCTTTGTCATCATTGACAGGTTTCTGTTCCAGTTTTTCTTGGATCGGGCTGCTCAATTTCACAATACGATTCATCTTGGAGGACATCCAGGTCAGCGTTTTTCGCACCAGACCCGTTTGGAAGTACATCTCATGCCCTCCACCGAATCCATCGAGATGATCAGCCGCATCCATGGAGAATGCTGCCGACTTCGCACAGAAGTTGTGGGTTTGCGTAGCCAGATCCAGCGCACTGAGCAGCGTCTGGGTTCCCTCATTGAAACATTGGGGGTCGCATTCCCACATCTGGCTGCGGATTTGGGGCTCACCCTTCAAATGAGTGATCTGGAACCGACACCAGGAGGTGTGTAACCCTGCATCGCAGATCCTTTTGGAGCAGAAGCAACAGTACAGTTCAAGGCCCAAGCCTGCAATTTTACAATTTCAATTACAACTGGATCAACGCCTCTGGCTACATCCTCGGCTTTTCCAAGAAGCAGTTCAGCTTTTGGCCACGCGCTGCTGAACTTACCGTGTCCTTTGAGAAAAACAGTTTTCATCGGGGGGATTTGCGCACTGTTTTCAGATTTCATAATTTCATCACAGATTTCAGAGTGAAGTCCACATTAGACAGATGTCTTTTGTCATATCGGTCATGTACATGAGGATTGAACCGGGCAGGTGCCTTTGCATTATCCCAGAATTATATGACCCACACTTCCTCTCATCAGACGCATGTCGAATTGCTCATTTTGATGGAACACAAAGTGTCATGGACTCGAGCGAGTTCGGATTTGAGTTGATAGGTTCTGTTTGGCAGAACATGTGCAATCAGGAAGTCAATTTTGATCTAGGCTCAAGTGAGCGCAATTTTGAAAGTGGGGGGGGGAATCGGCACACTCCTTCTTCCGTCAGAGCCCCGGTGAATTTCACAGTCGAGTGACTGATGACTAGAAGGCCTCAACTGGCAAGACGTTTTCATTGTCCAGCCAGACTAGAGTGTGATCAGATGATCACGAGACGGCCAGAGCCTCATCTGAAACAAGATGTTCATCCTTTTCACATTGATCAATTGAATATTTATGACTGATTTTTCTGATTCTTAAGTCATTGGACGAGTGTCCATAAAGTGGAACACAGGTCGAGTGACCTGACGTTCTCTTCTGCGTGCGCACCTCAGTCAATTCCAATGTGATAGATCATCAACATATCGACGAGTGTCGATCTGAATGAATAGGTCGAGTGACCATATCTCAGCATTTCGGAAGGTTGGATGTTGATAACAAGTGTCAACCTTTCAGATATCATCAATACATGTTAATGATCGCACCTGCGTGAATTTTAGGTTTGAGACAGACCTCTGTGACGTCAAGGCCTGATTTCCGAAGAGATTATCCTCTTATTGAGGTTGCTTTGCATGGTAGTGATTTCTTCGGACGATTTTCCTTATCATTTGTTCATCAATAATTGCGTCCTGTGACAGGATCGGATCAGAAGTACGCCCTCCGAGATCTCTTGCATCCGTGCATCCGTAGTTTCCTAGCCGGAACCTCCTTGGTTTTCTTTTGAGAGGGGTTGCATTCGAAAGCAAAGCACCGGAATTGCATGATCCAGGATCAGGAAACGACCGGAAGCCTGGACGCCGTAGGACTAGACTCGTCATCGGTTGTTTCAGAAGACCTGAGGGTCCCCTTGCCTCTCGACATAGATGAAACAGATGATGTATCTGAAAATTTGTTTGGGGGTGAAGACTTTTTGGAACCTGACGCGCTTTCGGACTCCCCACAAGCATCCGTGCCCTGCCGAGATGTCTCGGACACTCCATTGAGCGATGCCAAGAAGAGAGACCTGAGGTCGATGATCGAGGATAGTTGTTTATCTACCCAAGCCGTGTTCAAATTCAAGATGCCGTGGGAAAGACCGGGCATGAGAACAGTTTTTGATCGCAAACCAAAGAGGCTCATACCTATTCCCGTTTTGAAACCAGTTGAAATCACCTCCGGAAAGAAGGACATCTCCAAGGCAGTCCCGCTGCCGAGCACCAAGCCTTACCGTGGAGCCTTCAGTGAGGTCATCAATTTTAATTTGGATTTTAGCGAACAGGAAATGGAAGACAACCTTGAAAGGAAAGCCTTGGAAAAGTGGTATCTCATTTTTGCCTCAGGAGAGGATGCATGGCCTGAGGGTTTCAACTTGAGAGTAGCCGTAGCAGAGCATAGGCTTTCAGACATGAAGTTGATCTTCGGTACCAGGAGCCCTAACACCATCATCAGAAGGGGTTCAAGCATTCTTCAATTTATCAGATGGTACAGAACTAAGTATTTCTCGTTATGTCCTTTTCCGGTGAACTCCGCCTTGGTAGAAGAATACATCTCTGCATTACAGGCGGACGGGAAAACTGTGTCTGCCATGAGAGGCTTCCTGGAAGCCCTGAATTTCTGCAAGCATTTCCTCAGGATGAACGTTGCTCCTCTTGGTCAAGAGTTGGTTTCTGCAAAGGTCCAACGAATAATAGAAGTGTGTGACGCTCTGAAGCCTGAGAAGCAGCAAGCGAGAGTGTTGACGGTTGCAGAAGTTGAGTTTTTGGAGTCATGCTTAACCAATGAAAAGATGAGCCTTACCGACAGAGTCGCATGCGGTGTGATGCTTTTCTGTCTTTATAGCCGAAGCAGGTGGTCAGATGTCAAAAGGATCTACGGTTTTGTCCAAGATGTCAAGGAGTCAGAAGGCAAAATCTCTGGGTACTTGGAATGCAGAACAAGGTCGCACAAGACCTCCAGATTAGTAGCCAAGTCCGGTTTAGCCATGCCTCTCGTCGCACCTGTCTGGGGAGTAGGGAATCTTCCATGGGGTTTGATTTTCATTAAACTTTGCCAGAGTTCCAACCGACCTGTAGAGTCGCTGAGCAACGAGCCCATGCTCAATGCACCCACACCCGATGGGTCTTGGTCTGGCAGATCTGTGACGACAACGGAAGCAGGCAAATGGCTCCGCAAAATCCTGGCAGGGATGAAAGGGGATGCCATCTTCACAACCATTCATGCCTTGAAAGCGACACCGTTATCATGGTGCGCTAAGTGGGGTCTAGGGCCCGACATACGTGCACTGCTTGTTCATCACTCAACAGGCAAAACGTCTGCTGAGTGTTACGGGAGAGACAACCTTGCAAAGCCCCTCCGTGACTTCGATCTCGTTTTACAACAGATTAGAACTGGAGCCTTTTCACCAGACGCCACCAGATCTGGAATGATTAGGGAAGAAAGCGTGCAGGATCCAAGCTTGTCTTATAGCCACCCAGTGCCAAGCAAACCTCCGATCGTTCAGGAAAGGGAACATGCCAGCGAAGAAGAAGAATCATCATCCTCCTCTTCGGAATCGTCAAGCGAATCCCAAGAAAGTTCGGAGTCAGACCTAGAAGGAGACCCAGTGACCCAATCCAAAGATTGGGGCCCTGAGATGTTGATGTACAGGAACCGAAAGACTTTAATAGTCCATGCAGTAGCTTCCGGTGGAGCAGACACTTTTAGCTGTGGGGTCAAGATTACCAAAGACTTCGAGGAAATCCAGTCTTCCAACTTCCTTGAGCTCAGGCAATGCAAAAGATGTGCCACTGCACGGCCGTTGAAAACTGCAGGACAGCTCGCATCAGCACTGAAGAAGCTGCGTTCTGAGAGATGAAGAAAAAGGAGACTAAGAGCTGCGTTTGTTTGATTAGAAACGGTCTGTTAACAAACATTCAGAGAGAGGCAAGTGCTTCAAATTTCTCAAGTGAGAACCATCATGGCAAAGTGCTGAGTCTCTGAACAATCAGCATGTCAAAACGGAACATTCATTCATGTGAAGATGTTCTTTTGGGAAGCAAGTGCTTCCGTTCGGCCATGTGAGTACATGTCCTCTCCGGTTTTGATGGTTCAAACTCAGTGCACGTTTGAGTGCATATCCTCAAGTGAGGCTTGAATCAATTCCTGAAATCTCAGGGTGAACCAATCAAAGAAAGTCTCAGGAGTCAACTTCAACAACAGATTCTAATGTGACATGCGATTTCGTCCAATATTGACGTATAATCTTTACCACATAATCACCAATTGAAATCCCAATGTCTCATCAAGTCTCCTCATTGGATATGATCAATCATAATAACATAAGCAGACGGTTTGACTTAGTCCGCAGACTGTCAACGCTTCTGCGCAATGGGAACTTTGCTGGAATCTCGAGAGGCCTTGAAGGCCAGAGGACTGGAGGTCAGCCTCACGTCAGATGAGATCGATGCATTGATTCACAACAGGTAGATTCCCTTGCCCGTCTAGCATTCGCAGCATGCCAGCCAGGTGAATCCCCAACAGATGAACAAATTGTAGCCTTATTTGCAGGAAGGGCCGTTCCGAACCAAGGGACCTTTGCATCCATGAGGCGTTTGATCTTTGAAGCACAAACGCTGCTATCGGCAGATCTCCAAAACAAGGTGCACAAGGCAGACGAGAGCGTCAAGACCAAATTAGCTCCTGCCGAAAGAGACAACAGAATCAAAGACCAAAAAGCAAGGTTGGAAGGGCTCAGATTTCGGGGTGAGGAAGAGTGTTCTCATCAAAGCTACGACTTAGTGCTTCACATGCTTGAGAAGGACACCCTTTTGTATCTTCCACCCGACAAATTTCCCACGAGACGCCATGAGCTTTTGCAAAAAGAAAGCACCCAAAGAAATCACGATTGACCAGTCTGCTTTGATTGTTCGGGACAAACACATGGAGCTCACCTGTGCGACAACCACTGAACTTGAGGCCACCAACGCCCTTCGACGAAGAGCTTTAGCATTCGATTTGGTAAAGGCATGTGATTTTCATGTCATGAATGCTTTCCATGCTGACCTGTTTGATCATTTGCATCAGACGCCACCGCCTGGTTATTCATCAGTTTCTTTGGCCCAACTTTTGCGAGCCGATCGAGCGGCCTGGGTACTCATCGCTGAACGCATCACAACCCTAAAGAGGGATGAACAAGGCAAATTGCCTTTAGAGGCGGAACTCCAGCAGGTGCTTTCCCATCCATCAGTCACATTCCATTTGTTGCCTTTGCCAGCTGCGGGAACAACCAAGACTGCTTCACCAAAGCCGAAGCCACAGCCTAGACGTTCCAGATCGCCCAAAAGACCCTCCGGCCCTGCACCATCCAAGGGCAAAGGCAAAGGAAAGAAAGGGGGGAAACGGGGACGGGGCCCTAACGTCCCTAAGGGGCCTGATCAACAAAAATTTGCAGACATCATCGGGAGAACGCCTTTGCTGGGCATTTAATTTGGATCAAGGTTGCCCAAATGCTAAGCCCGGAGAGCGTTGCAACCGAGGCATACACCTTTGCGCAGAACCAGGCTGTGAGAAGCCTCACAGCCTCCAGAAGCACCAATGACAGCCATCAGCGGAAGCTTCAATTTTGCAAGAACCAGCTCATCCGAAGCGAGAGCCATCTATCTTGAAGAAGCCTCCGCTCAATCAACTTTTTGCCATAGAAATCTTCGCAGGAAGCGGCAAACTCACAGCTTCAATTCGAGCCATGGGATTGCAAGACAGCTTTGGGATAGACTCGAAGCTGCCTCCAACCTTGCGAAGTCCAATACGATCTGACCAATGAGGAACATCTCGAACTTGTACAGAATTTGATCAGATCACCCCAATGCTGCTATGTGCACTTCGCGCCTCCTTGTGGCACTAGTTCCAGAGCCCGCCTAATCCAACGCAAAGGACGATGGAATCCCCCCATCGTCCGCACTGACCAATATCCCGATGGACTCCCTAACTTGTCAGGAACCTTAGCCATTCGAGTCGCTGCGGCGAATAAATTATATGAAATCACCTGTGACTTGATCCGGTTGTGTTTGGATTTGAAAAAGTACTTTTCAGTGGAAAACCCGGGACGCTCTTTCATGTGGCAAACCACCCCCTTTGTCAAATTAATGAGTACCTTTCCCTTGCTCCAGGTGCTTTTTCATCACTGCAGATACGGAAGTTCTCGTCGTAAACTAACCAAGTTAGTCCATAACATCCCTGCTTTCCAAACACTAGAGTGTTTTTGCCAAGGCGATCACCCACACGATCCGTGGGGTCGCACTCCTGACGGTAAGTGGTCCACAGCAGAAGAAACAGCCTACCCATGGGAGTTGTGCAAAGCAACTGCTGCCAAACTCCTGCACCAACTCCAAACAGACGGGTACGATTGCAGTCCACCCGTTTTCGCCTTGCAGGAGTCATCACTCCAAACCATGAGAGCCTCAGCCGACATTCAACCACGTCGGGGCTTACCATCGATGGTATCAGAATTTGAGAGCGTCCAAAATCATCCCATCGATACACCTTTACCCATAAACTCCAGACGCCTCAGTACTCAAGTCCGGGGGTATTCCGCGAGTACTGATGATAAGCCAAGTTCAATCTCCATAGGCATCCACAGAAGCCCAGAAAAATTTGTGAGTGAAGCTATCAAAGTCGGACACCCCACCAGAGTTCACTCACTTTTTCCTGACGAGATAACTGATGTGGTAGCCTTGAACTTGAAGAAGGGTAAAAACATGGCCTTGACACGAACAGAAGAAATCAAAAGGTGGATAAGCATGTCCAAAGACTTGTCTGAACTCGAAGCCGACTTTAAGAAGACCATGTCAGCCCGACGCAGGACAATTCTCAAGGACAAGACGCTTATCCTGTTTCAAAATCTGCTTGCTGAGGCTGGACACGAAGACGTAGACCTGGTCACACAACTTGCTAGGGGCTTTGACCTCACAGGCATGTTACCAGAGTCGCACGTCTTCAACCGGAAGGTCAGACCAGCAGCCATTTCCTGTGGAGAACTCAGACGTGCGGCAGATTTGGGCAGAGCGGGAATTTTGCAATCAGTCAAGTCCTCAGGGGACCCTGACCTCGACAGGGATCTGTACGCAGCAACCTTGAAGGAGGTTTCCAAAGGTTTCTTGAAGGAAGTCCCTGACCTGACGACCTTGCCCCAAGGCGCCACCTTAACTAGAAGGTTCGGTGTTAAACAAAAGAATAAGGTACGTCCCATAGATGATTATAAAGCCTCCTTTGTAAATAGCAGTGTGTCTCAGACCGAGTCAGCCACAGTGCATACGGTTGATCACATTGCTTCCTTGATCTCTTGCTTCATGAGGGCGTCATGCAACCGTGAGGCGATGCCCACTCTGAATGCCAAGACGTGGGATCTTGCGGACGCTTACAAACAAGTGCCGTTGAGCGACGAAGCTTTTGAGATGGATTCTTACTTGGTGGTTTTCTGTCCGGACACTTCCGGCCCAAAAGTCTTTCAACAGAGTGTGCTCCCCTTTGGATCAGTGGCGTCAGTCACATCATTCCTAAGAATCGCTCACGCCCTGTGGCGATTGGGAACCAAGTTGCTAGGACTCATGTGGTCATCGTACTTCGATGACTTTTTCTCGGTGGAAATCCGCGACTTCTCAAGACACACCGACCTGGTGATAGCTTCTCTCTTTAGCATTTTGGGTTGGAAATTATCAGCTGAAAAACTAGTTGATTACCACACCATTTGCAAGGTTCTGGGAGTAGAGTTTGACCTGGGAATGTCAGGAGAAGGCCTTTCATGGGTTTACAACACCGGAGACCGGGTAGACGAACTGTGCCATCAATTGGACGGCATCATTCAGTCAGGTTTCCTCAGAAGGTCCGAAGGTGAACGACTGAGAGGGCGACTACAGTTTGCCTGCGGTCAGCTCTTTGGCCGATCCGCCAGGAACCATATCCGAATTCTTTCCGACCACATCAAGAGTTGCAGGAGTAAACTTGATGATGACACTCTACATGCCCTAAGACAGATCGACGAGCTGATTCGTGCCAATCGGCCCAGGAAGCTCTTAGGGACCTTGACTGACCATTTTCATGTGTACGTTGATGCATCTTTTGACGATGATGGCTACACCGGCATAGGTGGCGCTTTATACAATAGCTCTGGTCAGGCGATAAAATTCTTCAGTGAGAAAGTAGACCTGAGTTTCATTGAAACAGTGAAACAAGAAAACCAAAAGAACATCATCCAAGAGTTGGAGATGCTTGCTTTGCTGACCGCCATTGAAATTTGGGGACCCGTGTGGGAAGGCCACAGAGTTGTGGCATTTACAGATAGCGAATCCGTTCGCGGTAGCTTTTTGAAAACTTGGTCCAAAAACTGTCCTTGCAACAAGTTGCTAGCTCGGATTTTCTTCTTGGAAGAATCCCACACATGCCCCTTGTGGCTTGAGCGAGTGCCGAGCCAATCCAACCCTAGCGATGTTCTCTCACGAAGCCAAGTGGCCGTGTGGAAGGGGTTGGCGAGGGAACAAGTAGACTTCAGATCCATCTGGAGTCATGCCATCAGTTTCCCGGGGTAAGAGCGCGATGCATGACAGTGAGACCAATTCTCCCCATTGTCAAAAAGAGCGTTTTTGCGGCAGCAGTGTTTCGACGTTTCATGTCAGATGAATTTCACAGAGATTGATGTAAATGAAACCGCTTTTCCGAGTTGTCACCACAGTGAGCGTTTTGATGCTATGTAAGAAGTCTCTCATGGAACATGATAGATTTTTACATACGACGAAACGTGAAGAATGTAATGTTTCATTACATGACTGTGGTGACACTGAACAACATTGGAGATGGGAATGTCAGATATAAAATGAACTTTAT